GTTGTGTTAGATTCATGTTGCGTCTTTTCAGCTTGCGAACACGGCAAACCCGGAAGTGTATACAGTCATACCTCAGGATAAGTATTTTCGGGTTGCGCTCCGCGGCGACGTTACATCCGGGTTTCACCCCTCGTGCATGCACAGACGGTCAAGACGATGTCACACGCATGCGCGGAAGCTGTGAAACATGACCCACAGACACGCAGTTGCGTCTTACGTTCTATTCAGGATGTGAACGGGGCTCCGGAACGGATCCCGTTCACATCCCGAGGTACCACTGTACTTCTGGGTTTCGCCGCACATGCACAGAAATGGTGCTCTAGTTACAGACTTTTCAGGGTACAAACGGCACCCTGGAATGGATCGAGTCCGTAACTAGAGGTTCCACTGTACTAAAATAGTAAATTATGCAAAAATATGCAAAAATGTGTAAGAGATCTTATTTTCTCCCAGCATACCACTGGGGTAAGCTGAGACACAGGTTTACCCTAAGGAAGATTATATTACAGTGGTGTCTCAGGGTACATACGCTTCAGGTTACATACGCTTCAGGTTACAGACTCCGCTAACCCAGAAATAGTGCTTCAGGTTAAGAACTTTGCTTCAGGATGAGAACAGAAATTGTGCTCCGGCAGTGCGGTGGCAGCAGGAGGCCCCATTAGCTAAAGTGGTGCTTCCGGTTAAGAACAGTTTCAGGTTAAGAACGGACCTCCGGAACGAATTAAGTTCTAACCCGAGGTACCACTATATATGGCTTCAGTAACAGGGTCAGCTCCACAAATCAAAGCGGTCATCTGGGGACACATGGCATAAGGTGATCCAGCAAGTAAACAGCTCCCAAGCTATTAAGGGCTTTATATGCTAATAGCAACACCTTGAACTTGACCTGCTAGCAGATTGGGAACTGTTGAACTTTGACTGATCGTAATACACATGAAAGGGACGCGGGTGGCACTGTGGGTAAAAGCCTCAGCGCCTAGGGCTTGCCGATCGAAAGGTCGGCGGTTCGAATCCCCGCGGCGGGGTGCGCTCCCGCTGCTTGGTCCCAGCGCCTGCCAACCTAGCAGTTCGAAAGCACCCCCGGGTGCAAGTAGATAAATAGGGACCGCTTACTAGCGGGAAGGTAAACGGCGTTCCGTGTGCTGCACTGGCTCGCCAGATGCAGCTTGTCACGCTGGCCACGTGACCCGGAAGTGTCTCCGGACAGCGCTGGCCCCCGGCCTCTTGAGTGAGATGGACGCACAACCCTAGAGTCTGTCAAGACTGGCCCGTACAGGCAGGGGTACCTTTACCTTTACCTTTAATACACATGAACCAAATCAGAGCCTGGATTTGCAATCGGAGACCCTTCTCTATTTGCCCCCTGCGAGGAAGATGTAGGGGGTGGCGACCTGAGAAAGAGCCTTTTCAGTGGTGTCCCCCTCCCCAATTTGTAGGATGCTCCCATCAGGGAAGCACATCTGGCACCATCACTATCGGTTTTTAGGCACCAGGTAGAAGCATTTTTATTCACCTAGGCTTTTGGACCTGAAATTGGAGAGTGAGGCATGCGCAAGTGGCGGAACCCGGAAGTAACGCGCTCCGTTACTTCCGGGTTGCCGCGGAGCGCAACTCAGAACGCGCACATCCCAAAGCACATTCAACCCGAGGTATGACTGTACTGTTGCTATGGCCATTGGCTAATGCAAATAAAGTTTTATCTTATCCTTATCCCATGTTTGCCTTCCTCATTTAAAGCAGGTGCAGGGAACCTTTGGCCCCCCCAGATGTTGCTGTACTATAATTCCCATTATCCCTGGCCATGCACCATGCTGCCCGGGGCTGATGGGAGCTGGAAGCCGGCAGGACTTGGGAGGGCACTCTGCGTTGGCTACTGCTGATCTAGAAGTATTTACACTTTCTGGGCAGCTGCCAGATCCTTCCTGCATTCTGTACAACCTGTAGTGCATAACTGGGGCTAAAGAAATCAGCCGTAAACAGCCACAGTGAGGGGTTTCAGGAAGCCGCAGGCAGCGCAGGCACATTGTGTGCTGCTGTGTCTCTGGGAAGCCACTCGGAGCCGAGGAAGGAAGGGGTTAGGTGAGGTTGCTCAGTTCCACAACCACAGCCTGTTTTCTGCAGCAGCCTCCAGCATTCACGCCTGACCCAGTTTTATACTGTGGCCCAGATATATTTAGAATCCTCCTGTGGAGTGTGTGACATGACAAGCATGCTCAAGTCTTGGATCTTGTGGTCTCCTTGGTAGGGGAGCCCCCACCCGCTTTGCCTCAAGTTCCCAGGTGAAAGGGGAGGGGGCTTTATACAAAACACTCTGTCGCAGTGTTAGAAAAGGCTTGCATTGAAACAGTGCTCCAAAGGAAATTTGTCACGGTGCATGCAGTCGTTGCTTGGGAGAAAGTAGTTCAAGAGGAGCATGGGGAGACAGTAAGGGCCATAGGTAGCTCAGGACCAAGTGCAGAGCTTGCAGACCGCCTCCAATTCAGTCCCTGGCATCTCAAGGTAGGAACCAGGTAAAAGGTAAAGGGACCCCTGACCATTAGGTCCAGCCGTGGGGATGAGGAAGAAATATCATTTTGTCTCCTTGGAAATGGGTTGCCTTCATCTCCATCCGAGTCACCAGAGCCTGGAATGTGCAGGATTATGTCTGCAGATACTTGCTGGTAACATCTTCTATTGCCTGTCTTTGCAGTAAAGGTAAAGGGACTGACCATTAGGTCCAGTCGTGACCAACTCTGGGGTTGCGGCGCTCATCTCGCTTTATTGGCCAAGGGAGCCGGAGTACAGCTTCCGGTTCATGTGGCCTGCATGACTAAGCCATTTCTGGCGAACCAGAGCAGCGCATGGAAATGCCGTTTACCTTCCCGCCAGAGCGGTACCTATTTATCTACTTGCACTTTGATGTGCTTTCGAACTGCTAGGTTGGCAGGAGCAGGGACCAAGCAACGGGAGCTCACCCCGTCACAGGGATTCTAACCGCTGACCTTCTGATCGGCAAGTCCTAGGCTCTGTGGTTTAACCCACAGCGCCACCCGCATCCCAACAAGGAACTAGGATTGATCTTTTATACAATCGTCTCAAAGCAGTGTGCAATAAAAACGGTCAATACCACAAAAAGCCCAGCAGATCTGTTTAAAGCAAAACTAAAACCCTACAAAGCTCAGTTGGTGGAGGATGCAGCTCTGAGTCTCAGCGCTGTGGGTTCAGGCCCCATGTTGGGCAAGAAGGTTCTTGCATTGCAGAGGGTTGACCTAGATGACCCTCGTGGTCCCTTGCAGCTCTACACTTCTAGGATTCTATGGGACCCCTTTATCCAGCTAGGAACTAAAATGTCTTCAGTGCTTTCTGGAAAGCACAAATGACAGGCACCTGTCATATCTTGACAGGAATGCTGTTCTACAGAACAGGACCAGCCGCACTAAAAGTCCTGCTCTGAGTTACTGTGGAGTGAGCTTCTGAGATCTTTGGAACTTGCAGAAGAAATTCTCCTGCAGACTGCAACAATCTACTGGGTGTGTAAGGTGATCTCTTGTGGCCTTCCTTCTCTCATATATATATATATATATATATATATATATATATATATATATGGCTTGTTCAACCCTACATTTCAATAGTATAATAGTAAAGAAAAGAGTGCCTCTGAGCATGTGTAGAGCACCATCCCCCCACTAACTTCTGTAGGATAGTTAGGTGTTATGCAGTTACTGGGCACCTTAGAGTGGCTGGGGAAACCCAGCCAGACGGGCAGGGTAATAATAATAATAATAATAATAATAATAATAATAATAATAATAACAACAATAATAATTATTAGTAGCAGCAGCAGCAGCTGTGGTACATCTGGCCAAGACTAGGAAGACCCAGGTTTAAATCTGCACTCAGCCATTAAGCTCATTGAGCGACCTTGCACCAGTCACTACCTATTTCACAGAGTTATAAATGTATGCGGCTTTGATCTCATAAATGCACTTATGTCAGGTCCCATAGGGCTTGGAACTTGCTCAGTCAGAACCCTTTTGATTTATTCACAGCTAAGGTCTTCAAGTTTCCTTAAAGCGAGCCTCAGATTTTAAAGGCTTGGCTTGCAAGGAGGCTTTCTGTGGTCTCCTCTGCCTGTACGGTGAGAGCCCTCAAACATTTATGTCCTAAGCTTTGCCCTCCCTCCACCGGCCACTTCCTTAAGCCACCCACTGAGCAGCTCTCCGGGAAATCAGGATAGGGCCGGGAACAGGGCATGTCCACAACATTTGGACAGGCAAACTCTAGCTTTTTAACAAGTCTTTTGCTCTCATGTTTGGACAAGTGGAGGACAAATTGAATATGGAAAAAGTGGATTTATTCTTAGGTACGGATAAGCTGTTAGTTCTGCCTATTTCCATGGATGCAAAATTATTTACATTCTTAAGAACTATGCACTTGAGTCTAGCTGTCTGGTTCAATAGGAGCCAATACGTATATCAGACAAATGAAACCATACATAACAGCCAGTGTGATACTCTCCTTTGGGTCATACACGCTACATCTGCCGACATTCCCTCTTCCACACAACTGTTAAGAGCTCTGGCCTTTCTCCTCCTCCTTCTCCATCTGGCTACCCTAATCTCCCAAGGAGCAGATTCAACTCTTTGGATGCATGCAGTTCTATTATCTACCAAAGCACCTTATCAATAAAAGTCTCCACCACCTCCATCATTCAGCCTGGACACTGAGGTCCAGCTCCGAGGGCCTTCTGGTGGTTCCCTCATTGTGAGAAATGAAGTTACAGGGAACCCGAGGTACCACTGTATATTAAAGCTAAATGACAGAAGACAGGCCTTGGCGTGGCTCCCCCTGCCGCCCCACCAATGCACTCTCCGTGGTGTGAAGAGCCCCATTTGTTGATTTCTGCCTTGTTGTGTTAAGAATCACAGGCCACCTATCCTTAAAAACTCTAGCAGCTGTTAAGAATCACAGGGCCTCTGTCCCCATGCGGCTCTGGCCTCACCCAGGTACTGGCCATATCTAGAGGAGAGAAAGAGACAGGTGTTCCTGTTGGCCTCCAACTGCTCTTGCCCATGCTAAGCAGCCTGGCGAGCTGAGAGTCCGCGTGCTGGCTCAGGGCAGCTTTAGGAGCTGGGTGCTCTTGGCCTTAGGGAGCTATAAATATAGCCCCGCTGGCCGCGTCCCATGGCCTGCCAGCCTTGTGCATGTCCTGGAATCCTCCCTGAGCAGGGACGGCCATGGGGCTTTCTCGCTGGGTGCACTTCCCTGAGTCCAGCAGCAGCCGTGCAGAGACACTGTGAGTTGCTCCCAGCCCTGCCCTTCACCTTCTCCTGGCCTGGAGGGTGCCCCCTCCCCTGCCCGCCTTGCTCATGTGTAGCATCGGCTGCTGCCCCCCGCCCTGCCCCATGTGCTGCCCCGGCTGCTTCAGGCCACCCTGCCCCACTTGCTACCCGCCTCCTTGCTGCCCCACCTGCTGCCGCCCTTCCTGCTGCTACTGCCCCCCACCTCCCGCCTGCTGCCGCTCGGGGGGCTGCTGCTCCAGCGGCTGCCGGCCCCCGACCCCCTGCTGCCACCCTCGCCCTTCCTGGGGGGCTTCGGCTGCTGCCCTCCTCCTCCTCCTCCCCCTTGCCCAGGCTGCCGCCCCGCTTCACGATTCTGCGCCCCGTCTTGTTCGGCCTGCCGCAGGCCCGGGACCCGCCTCAGCACCAAGTGAGCCACCCCTGCCCTCCTTCGGATGCCCGTCTCCTTCGGATGTCGTCGAAAGCCCAGGCCCCCGTGGGAACAGCCCAACTCGGCCGCCTCCTTGCCCCAAACAACAGTAAGTAACCATCTTTTCTGTGACGCCAGCCACCAGCTTCCAGTGCGGCTTGCTGGCATCCCAGAATGCTTTGCTGCGACGGAGGTGGTTTCCATTTTGTGGCCAGCGTGGATGATGAGGTCCTAGTGGCGAATCTTGCACTTCGGAAGCGATCTCCCTCCCTGACCTTCCTAGCTGTAATCCCATCAGATATTAATCCCCTGAGATCTCTTCACAAAATCCTCGAGGAGGGTCTGGTGGCGGGACAGGCGGCCATATTGGCAGGTGGGGCTCAATTCAGCATCCTGGGTCATCTAGTGGGTCAAACCCCAATGGATATCCTTCCCCATTGTATCGGTGGCAGGTTTTGGTCATATGGCACCTGGGTGGGTTGGTTGGCATTTGTCTGTCTCAAGAGACTATGGAGGAGTGCGCCTTTGGGGGTGAAGTCAGAGGACAAAATTTGGCACCCCATAAATATTTCTTATTTTCACAATGATTCCTTTTGGTACAGTTGCTTTTTCCGTGGATCTTCTCAGTGAGTACCCATATAAATATACTGTAGATGATATTATTATTATTATTATTATTATTATTATTATTATTATTATTATTTATTGCTATTTTTCTAGAAAAAGAGGTACCAGTGGTGGCAATGAATGGCAAGTTCCTGCTGGAAAAAAGGCCCCGATTATTATTATTTTGCACCCTGCACACGGGAACCGCTCGCACCGCCTTAAATCTGTTGCTGCCGTTATGCACCTCAACCTTTTTCTTCCACATAAACCAAAGCACAAAGGCTGTTTTCCCCTCCGTGCCTGTGTAAGGGGGCGAGCTGGCGAAGTGTATAAGAAGAACTCTGACAAAGCCTCTGTTGTTGTTGATGCTGGGGAGGCGGTGGCGGGGTGTGTGTGTGTGTCAAGAGACCAGTTCCTGTGTTTTGCTCCTATGGGACTTGAGTCAGCAAGCAGACCCAGTGTTCCTGGCCCTTCAGGCCTTACATAAATAAAAAGAGAGTGTTGTCCCCCCATCAACAAGTAGAAAAGGAGCAGCTTTCACAAAGCCCTCCGCTACTCAGTAGGGGCTCTCCTTTAAGTGACAGTTCTGGAGCACAGGACTGTGTGAGCTTCCCAGCAGCAGTGCCCAGCTGACAGTCTGGCACACCGGGTGCACTGATTGCTCTGGGAGATGTTATCTCACAAAGAAAGGGCATTTGCCAAATTAGTTCTATGGGGCTGGGGGAGAGGGGGAACCGAGTTATATGGCCGAAGCACAATAGCTTGCTTAGGCAACTTTTATCAGCAGGGAAACAACTGCAGAGACAAGGATGGCGCCAGGGAAATCGGGAGCAATGAGCTATATGTAGGAGGGCCCAGGAAGGGGATTTCGCACAACCTAAAGGAAGATTGCGCAGGCTGAATTGTGGGGAGCGCATGGATGGTGGAGGGCAGGCAGTTTTCTGAAACAGCAGGGAAATGCACAAGAGTGAAAGCAGCTGCCTGAGTTGTGGGCAACTGTAAGAGAGTTGAGATATAAGAGACACCTAGGGAAAAAAAACACATTTTGTAAGCTGTAGATAACCTCTGCTGTTTCGCCATTAAGCACTCAGGTGCTGCAATATCTTTTAAGCATATACATATTTTGGGATGCATCTTTGCAGCAGGTGAACCTTACCGATGCTTTTTGGGTTTTGTCTGCATGTGATGTTGGGATCCTCCTCGTCTTCTGAGACCTGCAGCCTATTAAATCTTATACGAGACAAATTGTGAGATTTTCTTCTACGTAGGATTTTTGGTGTTAATATGGATCTCCTAAATGTCTCACTTTCATCATACAGTGGTACCTCGAGTTAAGAACTTAATTTGTTCTGGAGGTCAGTTCTTAACCTGAAACTGTCTTAACCTGAAGCACCACTTTAGCTAATGAGGCCTCCTGCTGCTGCCACGCCTTCGGAGCACAATTTCTGTTCTCAACCTGAAGCAAAGTTCTTAACCTGAAGCATGATTTCTGGGTTAGCGGAGTCTGTAACCTGAAGTGTATGTAACCTGAAGCGTATGTAACCTGAGGTACCACTGTATTAATGAACAGTTTGCGGCTGTCTGGGTGCTTGCAGATGGGTGTTTATTGTGGGATTGATGTGCAAAAGTTTTTCAACTGCCCACAAGACATTTGCTCCTCAGCAGAGCACAAACTACTTGGTTGGTTTTTTTTGGTGGTGCAAATGATATGAGCACGCCTGTTTCCACCAGCCGCCACCTAATAATGTATTGACAGAATGTCCAAATTTCAATAATCTGATTCAGTCTCAAGATCTCTACACAGTACATATGAGGTATTTACCTGCTCACATACTTCCTGTAAATATGGACTTCCTCCTCTGGGAATTGCAGGCTTCAATCGATAGATGCATTAAATTTATGAAACACCACATAATATGAAATTTTCTAGGTGCTGTACAGAATAAAAGATCACAATAAAATCAAAGTAAATTTAAGAGGCAACCAGCATAAAACCCCAAATGTAAAGCCACCATGCTGAGGTAGCAAATGCAGCACAGAACTGAAACAGTCATCAAATACACTAAAACCATCAATAACGCGGGTGGTGCTGTGGTCTTAACCACTGAGCCTAGGGCTTGCAGATCAGAAGAATGGCGGTTTGAATCCCTGTGATGGGGTGAGCTCCCGTTGCTCGGTCCCTGCTCCTGCCAACCTAGCAGTTCGGAAGCACGTCAAAGTGCAAGTAGATAAATAGGTACCGCTCTGGTGGGAAGGTGAACGGCGTTTCTGTGCACTGCTCTGGTTAGCCAGAAGCGGCTTAGTCATGCTGGCCACATGACCCGGAAGCTATCTGTGGACAAATGACCCGGAAGCTATCTGTGGACAAACGTCGGCTCCCTCGGCCAGTAAAGCGAGATGAGCGCCGCAACCCCAGAGGTACCTTTACCTAATCTTTAAAAGCTTGGGAGAACAGAACCTTCCCTCCCCCAAAAGACAACATTGTGGGCACCAGGTGACTTCCCAAAGAGAGCATTCCATAAACATGGAGCCATTACCGAAAAGGCCCCCTCTCCTGCAGATTTCCCCCACCAAAAAGCAGAATAGAGCTTTTGCACAGTTGCAACCACACAGCCCCATACATCCCCACCCACTCTAGTGGTTTATATCCTGTTATGTCAAAAATTGGGCTTTAAAAAAAGGGAGATGACAGCAATCTTGCATTTGCCACTTCACCTGAGATTGTGAAATTGGTTCCAGGTGTAAGAAAATGGGCTGGTTTAGCTTTTATTGGGGGGGAAATACTATGAAATAAACTATATAGATAGATGGGTGTCAATCATTTTTGTTGGGGGGGGCAAGACTTTTGTTAGGGGGGCAGAACTGACATGATTGGTCAGTTAGTTAAGTATTTCTATTGTTTTACTTGATCATAATACCCAGGGTAGGGGGACACGTTACAAGCCAGGGGTGCCAATTTAAATAAAGTAATCCCCGCCCCACATAATCACATTACACCGCGCGCACACCATTTGAATGGCAATTCCCAATCAACTTTGCGAGCCCCCTCAAATATTTTATTGGGGTGGGGTGAAGTCACCTTGGCCCCTAGGAGTTGGCTCCTATGTTATATGCTTTGAACAGTCAACAGTTGTCCATTTCCAGCACGGAAATGTAGTGATGGAGCTGGGTAGCTCAGTAGGTTAGCGCATGGCGCCATATTGCCAATGTTGCAGGTTTGATCCTCCCTATGGGACAACTGTAATTCCTGCACTGCAGGGGGTTGGACTAGATGATCCACAGGGTCCCTTCCAAATGCAATTCTATGATAGGGGAAACAAAGCATAGAATTTCTAGCTGTCGATACAAGTCGTAGCAGGAGTTTTATAAATCATTTAAAGTGTCAACACCAATAGAAGTTATTAATATTGCAGTTGTTGTATAAGGGATTATGATTACCGGAATGGAACAGAAATTAGTAAGATTTTGGAATGCAGAAATAAAGAAAACCATCAATTCCAGCAACCGAGGTGGGGGTGGGGCAACCTTATTTAAAGTGCAGTGGTACTTCAGGTTAAGTACTTAATTTGTTCCGGAGGTCCGTTCTTAACCTGAAACTGTTCTTAACCTGAAGCACCACTTTAGCTAATGGGCCTCCTGCTGCTGCCGCACCGCTGGAGCCCGATTTCTGTTCTCATCCAGAAGCAAAGTTCTTAACCTGAAGCACTATTCCTGGGTTAGCAGAGTCTGTAACCTGAAGCGTATGTAACCCGAGGTACCACTGTATATAATTCGGTATTTGAACGATTGGTATTAGTAATTGTATTATAAATCATAGCTGTCAACTTTTCCCTTTTCTTGCGAGGAATCCTATTCGGAATAAGGGAATTTCCCTTAAAAAAGGGAAACAGTTGACACCTATGCTATAAATTGGTATTGTTATAATGAGGCTTTTATTGGATTGTAATTGGGAACTAATAAAAATGATTATCAAAGATATATTCGAAGCAGGTTTCCCCCCCTTCCCCCCCCCCAAGGCCTCTCAGCCTTCTAACACGTGTCAGCCTCCCGGGTGCGCGTCCATGGGAATGGGATCGCGCCAATCTCCATCCCCCCCCTAGCTAAGAGCAGCCATTCCTGGCTTCCCCCGCCACCCGCTCCTCCCCTGTCCTCGCATCGCCCTTTCCCACGTGCGGCGAGCGAGTCACGCTGAGCCGCGCCCCTCGGGGCACATGGCTGCCCCTCGCTAAGCCTGCGCCGCCGGGGCGGATCTGCGCCCGCAGCGCCAGGGGAGATTAGCGCCGCCGCCGCCGCCGCCCCGGCCCGCCCGGGGTAGCCCCGAGCGGGAGGCCGAGCAGCCGGAGGGCTCAGCCCGGCCGCGTCCTCCCCGGGCTGGGCTTGCACGCAAGGAGCAGCGGCTTCGCAGATGGGACTCCGGGCGCCGCACGTGCGCTTCTCCGCAGCTGGTCGGAGTTGGGGAGGTCGCGCCTCTCGCTGCGGGTGGATCAAGGGAAGAGAGGATTGAGGGCAGCTAAAGCTTAATCTCTCTCTTCCTCCCTCGAGGTCGGGCCGAAGTTTTACAAAAATAAAGCCCCAACCTCGCCAGATTTAAGGGCCGCCTCGGTACCTTAAGCGACCTCCCTTGTTGTTGTGGTGGTGTTGTCGTAAGAGCCAGATCCTAGGGGCTGAGGTCCATTTATATTTATATTTATATTTATATTTATACCCCGCCCTCCCCAGCCAAGACCGGGCTCAACCAATAATAAAAACAAGTTGATTAAAATACAATTTAAAAAACAAGATTAAAATACAACATTAAAACGTTAGGATGCAGCCTCTTCACAGGAGGAGAAAGGAAAAAGAAAAAGGGGGAGGGAATCTCTGCAAAAACCATTCCGACCCCCCATAAAATATTTGAGGGGGCTGCCCCCCCCAAGTTGATGGGCATTGCCATTCAAATGGTGTGCATGCGCCACATCTTGTGATTGATTATGCAGAGCAGGGCTTACCTGCCCCCCCCCAGTATTTTATTCAAGTTGGCACCCCAGGTGGTTGTGATTAGGAGAAGGAAAACTCCAATCCTAAACCTGCTTTGCAGGATATCTTCAAGAGAAGAAAACGCTAATAGTAGTAAACCTTACACAAATCTGGAGTGCAATTCCTAAGACAGGTGGATGGCGCCTGGTACGCCTCCTTCTAGCAACTCTGATGGTGTTTCCTGCTTGGCAGGGGGTTGGACTCGATGGCCCTTGTGGTCTCTTCCAACTCTATGATTCTATGATTCCTGCAGCCAAGCTGGTGTCAAACATATTGTTCTGCTTTCCTTTGGACCACATCAGCGATTGGCGGCCCAGGACTTCCATATAAACTGCCCAGGCTTGTGCCAGGCTGTGCTAACACACACAGCAGTTTAATTTCACCCCCGGAGGTGCACTCCATTGTCTCTCAGACAGATGCCAACAAAATCATCATTATTATTATTAATTAAATTTGTGTACTGCCCTTCATCCGTAGATGACGAACAGGAGGTCACTGGGATTAAGGCTGGCTTCCAATTTCCCGCCTGATGTGTGAGGCAAAGCTGAGTGAAGCTCCCATAACTCTGTTTATTCAGAATAAAGAGATGGGTACTGGGTATGGAGAGGTCAAAAGCATACAAGCAGAGCTGGCCCAGCTGTTAGGCAGGGTGAGGCTGCTGCCTCAGGTGGCAGAAGCCCTCTACAGGTGCCCTGCCTGCACCATCAGGTCCAATTTTGGGCAAGGTCATATCTGTTTGGGGCGAGACAAGCACGATCGTGCCTGAAATTGGCGCTGCTGGTACCCGAGGTGGAAAATCCCGCAAGTGGCTCTTTCCATTTTCTGGCATTAAACATATTACTACATATTTGTGTTATTAATATTATTTAATCTAACATCAATTTGCCTTTTCATGGCACCCAAAACCAGCTTTTAACCAGTTAGTGGGACAGGATTTACCCTTGCAGGAGCGTTGCTGTCAATGTGCTGATGACACACAGCTCTACTTCTCCTTTATACTGCAGGTGAGGCAGTAGATGTGTTAGACCAGCATCTAGCCTCTGTAATGGACTGGATGAGAGCCAAGAAACTGAAGCTCAACCCAGGTAAGCCCCTGAGGCACAGTCAGTGGATAGTTCCCTGTTCCGGGCAGGGTTGCATTCTGCCTAAAGGATGTTTGTTTTAAATTATTGTATGTATATGCCTTTTACAATGCAAGTCTCTTCGAGGCATTTTACGTAGAAGATGGCCCATGCAAATGACAATAACATAGACTGCTGGAAAGTGAGCCTCATTGGTATCAACCAGATTTACTCCCGGGTCAGTAAGATTGCAGTTATACAGCCACATTTATGCTGAAGCAAGTCCCATGTTGTTCAGTGGGATTTACTCCTGAGTAAGGGTGCGGGTGGCGCTGTGGGTCTTGCTGAGCCTAGGACTTGCTGATCAGAAGGTCGGCAGTTCGAATCCCCACGACGGGGTGAGCTCCCATTGCTCAGTTCCTGCTCCTGCCAACCTAGCAGTTCGAAAGCACGTCAAAGTGCAAGTAGATAAATAGGTACCGCTCCGGCGGGAAGGTAAACGGCGTTTCCGTGCACTGCTGTGGTTCGCCAGAAGCGGCTCAGTCATGCTGGCCACATGACCCGGAAGCTGTACGCCGGCTCCCTCAGCCAATAAAGCGAGATGAGCGCCGCAACCCCAGAGTTGGCCACGGCTGGACCTAATGGTCAGGGGTCACGTTACCTTAACCTTTAAGGGTGCCTCAAATGACAGCCCTCACATCATACATAATAATAATAAGAAGAAGAAGAATAAGAAGAAGTACTTAAAATTTCTAAGGATTGCAAAGAGATTAACAGATAAAACAATCCTTGCCTGCAGGCTGACAATCTAATGGATATGCTACAAAAGGAAAAAGGGCTGAGGAGGGTAGAGGAAAACAAACATTGGAGCAATGCTCTTTTCTGACACGAAGCACGTATTCTGCAGCTGCTCCTTCTCTCGCTTGGATGAGACAGAATGATCTTCGCCTTGCTCTTCTGGAAGCCCTACAGCTTCCACAACCCTCTTGTTTATGGATTCGGCTGAGCGGCGACCTCTGTTTGCTCCTGTTCTTTATTTTTAAACCCATCCACAGAGCATGTAACAAGTCGTGTAACAAAACATTGCATCTCCTTTTGTCTATATCTGAAAGGACGGTGACTCTTTGCCTTCTACTTATGTAGCCAAACGTAATGGTTCCATGCAGGAATCTGGGTCACCCAGAGAGGTGGGGGTGGGGAGTGGAAGGGAAGCAGAGAGTTAGGGTTTCTGGGCCACCTACGTGGGTGTGGTGCTGGTTTTTTTGTGAACTGCCACAAACAGCAAGCAGGGGCTCAGCTGGTTCTGGGTTGCCATTTATCAACTGCTCAATCCCTTCTTTTCTTCCCTGGGATTTTTCAAACTTTGTGAAGGTTTCTTCTTAGATGAATTGCTGTCTGGCAAGACAGCCAGGGGAGGCCTTGAACACCACATAACCATACAAACTTCTAATAGCTTCTGCATTAAAACTGGTGACACACTTTACTCTTGCATCCCGAAAAGGCTTATGTAAGAGGAGAACTTCTTGGCAAAGGAATGAATGAATAAATTTATTACGGTCATAGACCAGAAGAAAAGAAAAAAACATAAAAGGCAGCAGTAATTTACGAGGGAATGATGGTGTCAATTAAAAGTTGTAAAATTATACATAAAAACAATACACATATACACACACACCCACACACACACACATATACATACTCATATATGCACTACAGTATATGTATGGGCTTAAAAAAAGGGGGGGGCTTATCCAGGGGTCAGATCTTTTACTTTTTTACAGCTAATGCCCTCCGCTTGATCGCGGCCGCAGAAAACTTGGCCACTTTCAGTGTTACTTCTGGGTTTTTATCTCCTAGTAGGATTTTCAGCCGCTGAGATTCAGATCGACCTGGAAATTTCTGAACGATAGGGGAGATAAACAGTAACCTGATATCCCCGTAAAGGTCGCAGTGTAACAACACATGTGAAGCCGTTTCCACCTCCTTCAGACCACATGGGCAAACTCGTTCAGCATAGGGTGTGCCCTCGTATCTGCCCTTTAGTAAGGCAGATGGCAATACATCAAATCTGGTAAGGGTAAACGCCCGCCTATATTTTGCGATTTGTAGGTCCAGCAAATATGGGGTTAGATTAAACCCTTTTCCATAATCTTGGATAGCTGGATATTTATCTATCTTGCTCATATGGTCCTGAAGCTCTACATCTCCTATTCGCTGGCTCACCATCATTTTAGCCTTTTCAAAGCCTGAGGCTATGAGTTCTTGTGGGGAAAGCCCCAGGCCCCTCAATTTTTCATAAAGCGACAATCTCCATTTAGACTGGAACGGGTCTAGTAGAGTCAATGGAGCCACTCCCACTGGGAAAAATATGAGTTTTAGCCAGAAGTGAATCTTCAGGATCCATATCCTGGCATTAATAGGGAGTTGACCTACCTCCAGCCTAATGGCAGTGTTAGAGACACAGGTAGGTAACCCTAGTAGGGAACGATAAAATTTAGTTTGTACAGATTCCAGGGACTTGAGTTTTTGACAATTAAATATCTGGGTGCCATACATCAATTGTGGAAGTATTTTTGCAACAAAGACCTGGGAGGCAGCAGGAACATATTGACCTCCTTTTCTGTAAAAGAATCTTATGATAGCTCTGGAAGATCTTTGCGCATTTACAATGGAATTCTTAATCTGATGGCACCAAGATCCCTTCTCATCAAAAATTATTCCAAGATATCTAAAAGATGTTACTTGCTCAATAGGTTGGTTATTAATTTTCCATTTATGTCGGAGTTTTCTCTTGGAGAACACCATAATTTTTGATTTAGTGTAATTTATTATTAGGTGTTCAGCTTCGCAATACTCTGTAAGAGCTCGTAAAAGTTTTCTTAGACCCACACAAGAGAAGGAAATAAGTGCCGCATCATCTGCGTACAAAAGGACCGGGATTGGTGTATTATTTAGGTTTGGGGAATGAGTACTTGCTTCCTCCATCTTTCCGACTAAGGAGTTTATATAGAAGTTAAAAAGAATAGGGGCAAGAACACAGCCTTGCTTGACACCATGGAAACTTTGGATTTCCTTTGATAGGTTCCCATAACGGTCGCATCTAACACGGATCCGAGTATTTTCATGTAGTCTACGGATAAGAAGCAAAAGACGTCTATCGATGTTTGTGACATTTAGTTTTTCCCAAAGTCTGTGCCGGGGTATCGAGTCGAAGGCTGATTTGAAATCTATAAAGGCTACATAGAGAGAGCCTCCTTTCTTTGAGGTGTATTTCTCCACTAGATGTTGCAATACCAATCCTTGGTCTAGAGTTGATCTATGTGCCCTGAAACCAGCCTGGGCTTCCTTTAGGATGTGCTCCTGTTCCAGCCAGTCCGCAAACTTTTCACGTAAGTGAGTTGCATAAAGTTTGCTGATGATGCTTAAGAGACTGATTGGTCTGTAATTGGCTGGATCAAGTTTACAGCCTTTCTTGAATATGGGAACGATGATTGCCAATCCCCAGTCCTCTGGTATTATTGCTGTTTGATCAAAAGGGGACCAGCTCTTGGACAGTGTTGAAGTAAATCCTTGTGCAAGTGCAATGGGACTTTCACCCTCTATCCTCCTTCCACTTGCACACGCTGTCTCCAGATCTGCTCCATAGAGGCGGGGGTAAACCCAGAACAGATTTAGGAGGTGCCTGGGAGAACAAGGGGTGCTGTTGAACAAGCAGAAATCATTTTGCTGAAGCAACACTAGCTTTAGTGATACATTGCACACCATCCCTTATGTAGCTGCATGGATCACTGTTCTGGACTCAGAGCATGATAGCAAAGGCTTCTGAGACCCCGAGACCCTGGAGAGCGGCTGCCAATCAGCTGCAGCCAATACTGGGCTGGATGGACAAAAAGCCTGACGCGGGATAAGGAAGCTTCCTTATTTTGCTTTAGGTGTCCCTGCTGATTGGCATGCCTAGAACAGCAACTCACACGGAGATGAAACAGAGAGCAGTTTGTATCCTCTGAGGGTATGTAATTCTGCTGCAGCTCTTGTAGTGGGTGCGATGGGATGTTTTCATCACACTCAGGGCGGAAGAGACAGCGATTCTGCAGACTGAAGCAGTCGAGTGGGCACAAATGGCAATCTTGCAAGTAAACCGGTCCCTAATTGTTAAGGGCTTTATATACTGATGGGACGCGGGTGGCGCTGTGGGTTAAACCACAGAGCCTAGGGCTTGCCGATCAGAAGGTTGGCAGTTCGAATCCCCGCGACGGGGTGAGCTCCCGTTGCTCGGTCCCTGCTTCTGCCAACCTAGCCGTTCGAAAGCACGCCAAAGTGCAAGTAGATAAATAGGTACCGCTCTGGCGGGAAGGTAAACGGTGTTTCCGTGCACTGCTCTGGTTCGCCAGAAGCGGCTTAGTCATGCTGGCCACATGACCCAGAAGCTGTACGCCAGCTCCCTCGGCCAATAAAGCGAGATGAGCGCCGCAACCCCAGAGTCGGTCACGACTGGACCTAATGGTTACCAGAGGATGCAAGCTGCAAATTGAGCCTTCTTTGCAGCCACACAGTAGGCAGATTATGCGCTCCAACCTGTGACGGTATCAGAGCAAGACTGAGACTTCTCCATTGGAGAAGCATCCATGTGCCGTCTTCTTCTGCGCATGCGCAATACCTAGAGATGGTTTGTGACCGCACAGTGCCATGAAGTGCGGCCTTGGGAAGTTCTCCTGTACAAGCCCCATCAGAATGTAAGCCATGACTGTTTTTCTCTCCCATTCATCAAATCCCTTTATAAAGCTATCAGACCTGGTGGCGGTCAAATCTGATTGCATCCACTTTGCTGAAATGAATGGGAGGCCTCCCATTTTCTTAACCGCTTCTATTCATAAGGATTGGGCAGGATGGCTTCCCTGAGAACTGTGACCGATCAGATCTGGATCTCCCACTCTGCCATGGGCACTGCTGTCTCAACTCGCTGCATAGTAGGACCTTCTCTGCTCTTAGTTTTCAGGATGCCTTGCGTGGCCCTGTCCTAAACCTTCACACACTTCTCCCGTGCTATAGAAAAACTTTCCCCCCAGCAAGGCCATTGACTGATATTATTCTGGCGCAACGCTTGATCAAATGTTCTCAGGTGCTCACATCGGGACCCAGAACACAAACTCTATTTTTCAGAGCAGAACAAACTTTTAGGAGAAAAAGACTTGAGTAAATTAAATTGTCAGCTTCCCGTTCCAGCTCTCTTAACTTCGGGTGCCCCCCCCCACCTTCTGCCTCACTTTTTAAACCTTTGTCATGGCAGTATGTTAATGGTTCACTGCACTGTCCCAGTTTCTCTCTGTGTTTTTTTTACATCCTATTAATAGCGGTTGTCCCAGTTTCATATTCAGCAGAGGCTTTCTCGGCGCCCTGGTATATAACTTCCTGGCTCACACATCTCTGTTTTTAACCAATTCATCCGTTGCAAACATTGAGTCCTGTATTTTAAAAATAATGCTTTTGCTTTTTTTTTTTGTATTTAGGCATTAGTTGTTTTGTGCTACAGGCCTGAGCTGTCATTCTAACTTCCAGACTGATAACTCACTTGGTAGAGCATGAGACTCTTAATTTCAGGGCTGTGGGTTCAAGCTACACATTGGGCAAAAAAGATTCCTGCATTGCAGGGAGTTGATGACCCAACTCTGCAGTTCTATGATCCTATCTCCAAGTGTTTTATATTAAGCTAGTACTGTATTTGGGACACGGGTGGCACTGTGGGTTAAACCACAGAGCCCAGGATTTGCCAATCAGAAGGTCGGCGGTTCCAATCCCCACGACGGGGTGAGCTCCCGTTGCTCGGTCCCTGCTCCTGCCAACCTAGCAGTTCGAAAGCACGTCAAAGTGCAAGTAGATAAATAGGTACCGCTCCGGCGGGAAGGTAAACGGCGTTTCCGTGCGCTGCTCTGGTTCGCCAGAAACGGCTTAGTCATGCTGGCCACATGACCCGGAAGCTGTACGCCGGCTCCCTTGGCCAATAAAGCG